GGTTTTCTGAAGACTAGGTACCTCAGCTCATAATCCAGCACTTGGAGCTTCTGAAGGAAATGTAAGGGAAGATCCCTTTCAGACCTGGGTTGGGTGTTGTATCCAGAAATCTTGTTGATCAGATGGAAGTTAGCTCTGCTCATCTTTTTTGGGTAGCAATGTTCTAGGCCTAGACACTGAAGTAATTTTAGGAAGGCTGTATGTTCTATGACTTCCCCTTTGCTATTTCTATTATCTTGTGGATCATGGGATTGCTTCTTTTCAGGGAGAATACTCTGTGAGTTTTTTCCTACCTCATCCATTTGCAATGAAGAGATGGTGAATTCATAATTACCTTCAATGAGTAATCTCAAGTCTTTCTCTAGATTTTCCCAATCCTGATCTGCTCCAGGTTTGGAGAGGATATGGACAACTTCTTCTGACAAAGATTGGCCCAGGTAATGCCTTATTAATTCCAAGCGTTGTGTTTTCTCCTCTAGAGAAACAGACATGACTCTACTGGTAGCTGTCAGACCTGTGATCACTAGGAATGCCTGGGCTCTGTATGTGCAAATATTTTTGAGCTCCTGGTATTTACCTTGGGCAGTTTGCATTTTATCCAGTAGGAAGTCTAACTCCTCACACCCCAGGAGATACTGAAACTTATTGTTTAGCACATGATACCCTGCACCAGCTGCAATGGAAAGTAGCAAGAGCTGTGTGTCTGGCTGCTCTGTTTCTTGAAGGTAATTCAAGAAGCAGCCGAGAGACAAACTGACCTCATAAGTGGCCTTTCTTTTAGCTTCTTCCACTGTTTCTGCAGACTCAGATATGGCCATGGCTTCTTTGAGGTCATTGTGGATTTTCTTTAAGGTTTCAATTAATTCAGAAAATTGGGAGATACTTATGTGCTCTTGCACTGACTTTGATGGGAAGACCCACTGCATGATGAAATGAACCTGAGGAAAGTCATTCACTCTGCGGATGTGAGGATCCAAAAGGCTGCGCAACTGAGATTTAATAAATGCAGTTTCATAAATGGAAGACGTTTTGCAAAAGTTAACAGTGTTTACCAGAAAATTCTGCAGACCCTCATCTGTGAGGCATATGTTCACCCAAGTGTCATAATTTTTGTTTTTTGACTCAACATTTGCATGAAATTTATCAGTTTTTTAAGCTGCTCTTCAGGATTAGATACCTCCCAGGATTTCACATCCTCTAGGAAAACCCTAGCCTCCTTCCCAACACTCAGTAAGTCTTCTCCATCCTGGATCTGGGCAGTGAGTCCAGTCAGAGCAGAGTAGCTATCTTTTAGTAAGCAAGCCACCTGACATGGATCCTTAAAATCACTTCTGTGGTTGGAGAGGATGATGTCCCAAACGGGCACCAGCTGAAGGCCACGGTCTATGACACTCCAGGTTTGATTACTTGCAACTAGGCCAGCTTTCCATTGGCGAAAGCCATTCGCTTCTGGTGGGCCACCTGTCTGGGCCACAGATAATTGGACTTTGGTTTGGAGATTTTGGAAGGTTGTGCTTTGGGTGGCAGTTTCTGAATGAGAGTCAGACCCGTCCACACCTGCAGCAACTTTCACTCCAAAGCCACTGTAGCTGCCCTTTATGTAACCATTCAGGGCCTCTGCTGACTGCTGTTTTACTTCTTTCAGCTGCTCACTTTGGAAACCCTCTGATACTGCTTTCCACCAGTAGATTCCTCCCAGGTGCAGAGGGCCCTGGCTGGCATGAGAGCCAAACCTTTGGAAGAACGCTTCAGTCCTGCGCCTCAGCAATGGGAGTCTGTCTATGTCTGCAGGCTGACTCAGAAGGTCTTCAATGCATTTCAGTTCCTGGAGAGCAGCCTTGGAGAACTGGAGCTGATCCATGGAAAAGGCGCAGGAGGCAAGTGGGACATAGCTGAACTTGGTAGAGCAGAAATAGGAGTGCTCAGAATGTACTTGTTGCATTTCCTTGGATTCTGAATGTTTGCTGTGGTCCATACCAGCTTCGAAGTTAAATCCCCAAGCTCTGCCCTTGGCTGAGGCAATTACACTGAAGCCCAGCTTCTCTGTCATCTGGGTGAACTGGGATTCTTCTCGAGAAGATGTAAATTCCCTGGTTTCCATCCGAGTGCCATGCTCAGGGCCAAAGAGTAAGAACTCCTTGGGGACACTGAGTAGTTCTTCTCTCTTCTGTATAAGCTCTATTTGGTAGCTGGTTTTGTAAATTCCCTGCAGGGCCAGCCCTCCAGAAGCCCATCTCACGAGATCTCTATCTGGGAGGTTTTGCCTGTGAGACAGTGTGGCCTCCATGAGGTTGAGTTGTCCCTGCACGTGTTTCATCACTTCTTTTAAGGGTTTTTCGGGCAGTGGCCAGTACTCTTTGGGAATCTCCATTGCCTGCCTCAGCTCTTCCTCTTTTTTCCTTACTTCCTCTTCTTGTCGTAGCCTCCCTTCTGATAGCAAGTCTCTTAGCTCCTGCAGTGCCTGTTCTGCCTTCTTCTGTTCTTCCTTTATCACTTTCACCTGAGACTCCTGTAACTTTGAAAGCGTATTTGAGTTAAGTAGCTTCTCCAGAGCCCTTTTCTCCCAGGAATGTTGTGCCTGGGATTTCAGCTTCTGCAGGTCTTTTTCTTCTATGTGTTGTAAGGCCTGTGCACAGGTCACACCCAGCTGTTCCTGCAGCTTTGGCAGCCAGTACTCAACTGCCAGTCCTACTCCTCTCAGCATCTCTTGGAGATCTTGCCCACTTTTGCCTCTGACAAGGGCCTCATCAGACGTGGAGTCTGCTGTGTCCATTACTGTGGAAAGAAAAGACACTCACTTATCCTCTCTCATGAACTTAGGAAGTGTAAGCCACATCAAAATAAGGATAGGAGTACTAAAGATGCAAGTCTCTTCCCTGGCAGGTGTGTTAAGTGGTTAGAGCACTGGTTCATACACCAAAGTATCATAGGTTACTGAACAAGGCCTGTACCAGGATTTTGGGTTCGCTCCCTGCTCCCAGTTGGGGTGTGTGTGGGAGGATGTTTCTCACACTGATGTTTCTCTCTCTCTTTCTCTCCCATTCTTCCTCCTTTCCTTCCTGTCCCTCCCTTCCTCTCTCTCCCTCCCTTCCACTCTCCTTCCTACCTTCCCTTTCATACTCTCAGAAAAGCAATGGAAATAATATCCTCAGGTAAAGATTAACAGCACTGCAAAAAGATGCAAGTCTTTAAGGCTTTCTCATCCTTTCATTTCATTGTTTTATAAAATATACTAGAGGCTTGGTGCATGAAATTTGTGTCCTAGGCGAGGGTACCTCATCCCTACCTGCGCCCTGTCGCAGTCTGGGAGCCCTTGGAGAATATCCAACTAACGGCTTAGGCCCACTCAGTCGGACATGCCTAGTGCTGCTGTGTAGGTGGGAGAGGCTCCCACCACTGCCGCTGCACTTGCCAGCTGTGAGCCTGGCTTCTGAGCTGCGCTCCCCCTGTGAGAGCGCACTGACCACCAGGAAGCAGCTCCTGCATTGTGTATCAGTGCGCATCATGGCGACCAGATGTTCCGCTGTTCGGTCGATTTGTATATTAGCCTTTTATTATATAGGATTATTGCTTTAAAAATGTGTGGTGTGTGTTTATATGCCTCCACATGTGCACAAACAAGATATCTTTTTGGGTGTTCTCAACATTGATTGCTTTTGTAGTTGTCAGGATGAGTTGCAACTTAATAGCCTGGGTGTTGGTACTTTCTATTTAAACAGAATCAATTGAATGGAGAATATTAAGGAGACACCAATGATTATTCCACAATTAGTTTCTATAAAACTTGTGTCGAATGGTTCCCTCATTCGTTCTGTCATTTATTGTGCCATCCTATACGGCTTGCGAGCGCAGTGGAGGTGGTGGGAGCCTAACCCACCTCCAGGGCAGCGCTTTGGAGCGGTGAGCCTGGCTTCTGGTTGAGTGGCGCTCCCACAGGGGAAGCGCTGCTCAGCCAGAAGCCAGGCTTACAGCTGGTGAGTACAGCAGCAGTAATGGAAGCCTCTCATGCCTCCTCTACAGGCAGGCGGTAAGGAGCGAGGGGCCCTGGATTGAGAGACCCTGGACTATGAGAAGGATGTCTGATTGCTGGTTTATGCCCGATCCCCTGGGGCCTAAGCCAGCAGACATCCCCTGAGGGGTTCTGGACTGCAAGAGGGTATAGGCTGGGCTGAGGGAACCCCACCCAGTGCATGAATTTTGTGCACCAGACCTCTAGTTTTATAATATTTATCTACTCTCCTGTCCTTTAAAATACAGTTCTTGACATCAGCATTATGGTGTATAAGATATTTCTCTTTTTCTCTCTCCCATTTTGTAACAACTAATTAGACACCTATCCACAAACAAACGTGCCCCCCTGTGGGAATTTTGGGATCATGCCAAGGATGTCAAGGGAGTCTTGCCTAGCTGTTCATCTAGTAATAGGCAGAGGACTTCAGTATGGGGTATGGAACCAGTAAAGCCAGCAATTCTGCCCAACGGTCTTAGCGTGGTTGGAAAAACCTTTTTAATGCTCATCTGGGCAGATGCCCAAAGATGAGAGAGAATTTGCAGAAGTCCAGTCTTTTCAAGGGTAGATTGCAGTGTGAGTTTGGGGACATTGCATGGGCTGAACTATCTGATGGTGGCAATTTCTCCAGTGTGGAGAAGGAGAGTGGTTAGTGAGTGCCTGGCTATCCAAGTTGTGTGGGACATGACTTGAGAAACACATTGCTTTTCAGCAGTACTCAATATTGTGCAAGACCTTCATGACCACGGGGAAGGAAAAGATGGGAAAGAAGCAGAGAAG